GAGCCCCCCATGCCCTGGGCTGATCCCCATGGGCAGCAGGAAAAAATCCTTCCCTGTGAGGGTGGGGCTGCCCCTGGATCCCTGGCAGTGCCCAAGGCCAGGCTGGACAGGGCTGGGAGCAGTGGGACAGTGGAAGGTGTCCCTGCCATGGCTGGGGTGGCACTGTCTGAGCTTTAAGGTCCCTTCCCACCCAAACCATTGTGGGGTTCTGTGAATAACAAATGGAGATTGTTCCTCAAGGAGATGTTACAGTGTCATGAGGAGAGATGTGAGTTGTAACCATGTTGGAGAGGCTTAAACAGATGCTCAGAATTGTGATTGTTCTTGCAGGGAATTGTGAACTGAATATTTCTGAACCTAGGTTTAGCCTGAGGTATTTAAAGCCAGGCAAAGCCTGTTTAGATCATAACAGGAAACATTTCAAACTAAACACAAGAACTTGCCAAAACCTGGTTTGAAGCAGATGAATTCAGTCTGCTTCAGCCTTGCCACGTGGGCACAAAGATGGAAGTGTTGGTGGAAAAAATCCAGTTGTAACAGGTTTTCTGGTGTAAATGGTTGGTGTGTTCAGCAGAGGGAGGGCAGAATTATTCCAAAACATCACGACTTGTGTGCAGCAACAACATCTGAGTGACAAGGTGACATTGTGGTGGAGCCAGTGCTGAATAGCAGTGAGAAAAATGGAATTTTGTGCTGCTTCTTCACTCTGAGAAAAATTTCATTAATTGGGAACTAGACCTCAATAAAGCTTTGCATAAAGATTCTTGTTATTAATGCAGAGAGCAGAGCAATGTTTTATTACAGACTTGCAGTGTGAACAGTTTGTACCTCTGCTGAGCAAGGAGGTGGGAATTACAATGGAGACCTAAATTACACAAGGAATTAAGGAGAAAATGTGCCTGTATGGCATTTCTAGGATTTGATTGTAGTTCTATTTTCCAGGTAGTGCTTTCAGTAACACCAACAATTCCTTTGCCAGTTTGAGGAGGGAGGAGCAGGGATTGTTGGATAAATTCTTCCTTGGGAGGGTGATGAGGCAAAGTGTGCCTGGAGAAGGAAGTGTCCAGGGCCAGCTTTGGCTGCTGCCTTTGTGCTGGTGGGATCAGCTCTGGGCTGAGGTGGGTTTGGGATGGGCAGGGAGGCTGAAGTGCTGTTCCCTCTGCAGGTGGTGATCACCAGGCTAAAGCTGGACAAGGACCGCAAGAAGATCCTGGAGCGCAAAGCCAAGTCCCGCCAGGTTGGCAAGGAGAAGGGCAAGTACAAGGAGGAGACGATCGAGAAGATGCAAGAATAGCTGCCTTCCTGATTGACACCATTAAAAAACTGCTAAAATTTAATATGTTGTGTGTCTTCTTTCAAATATCTTGATGTGTCCTGCTCAGCATTTAAATATTCATACTTCTCGTTGACTTTGTAAACAATATACTAAATTTAAAAGCTACTTGGTACCTTTATTTCACTGTTAAGAAAAACAGTTTAGAAATGCTTCAACCAACCTGAAAGAGCAGTGCAATCCTGAAACATCCATCTCAACAGTCATTGTATTTCTCTCTTCATTAGATGTGTCCATGTTTTTTTTTTTAATATTAACATGTTAATTCTGTGCACTGAATATGTAATTAATTCAGGTCTTAGATTAATGAGGACAAAGGGGTTTATGAGCAGTGCTGACTGGTTTGGAAGGGATGGGGTGAAGCAGTCTCAGCCCTGCTGGTGGTGCTGTTTTGGATGAATTTTTACTGAGAGATTTTTCCTGGCACTTTGTACCTTCATAATTGAGAGCTGCTTGTTAAAAACATCCCTGCAGTTCCGTGAATTGACTGGCTCAGTGAATGGCCCTCTAATTGCTGCTGCAGAGGGACAGAAATTCATCTGCCTGAACAACAATGGATGCTGGCAATTGAGGAAAATTGTTTTAGAAGCCATTCATAGCCTGACAGTGAGGCTGTGTTGGGTGGACTGAGGGTGCGTTTCCTTTCGTGAAGGCTCAGGGGTTTTGTACCTCCAGCTTGTGCTGCTCAATACGAAATTTCTTAACCTTGAGTGGATGTTTGAGGAATTCCGTGAGGTTTGTTCATTACCGGGACCTTTCCACGTACAGAGCTGCTGTGGAATCGTGTCCCAATTCCCTGAGGAGCTCAGAGCCGGCAGGAGCTTCGCGTCCGCTTACCCGGCAGCGTGTTTGGGATGGGGGTCCCAGGGCAGTCCCGATCCCACCGCAGCTCTGATTCCATCGCGACCCTTGTCCCATGA